GGAAGTAGGACAGATGAACAGAAATGAAAAACGTGATTGTGAATTTGGCTATGGGAGCTCGAACTTCAATTCAAGCTTGTTGGAAAGTACATGGAAAACACTATATATCGGTGGTAATTTTCTCGTCTGCGACCAAATATTTTATTTTAAAATCAATTTCTTGTGAGCAATGTTTTCGACATTACGAGAACCACATACATTGTAATAACTTGCTGAAAACCCGTCCGATTTCAATGACCCAAACGCAGACCTGTAGAACTGACGACACTCTTTCATAATTACCGCTACGCGCATGTTCACCGACCTTTGACGTCAACTGCGCAGAACAAAAATGATCGTCACACCTTAGGAAGACGATGACGGCTGAATAATCAGTGTGACGGCAGCCGGCAGAAGACATCGACATGAAAGGCACGTAAACACAAAAGAATAATCAGTTGAAAACAAAAGACTCAAGTAGGATTAAAACCAGTCCAGTCTCCTTCTTTTTTTAGCTCCATGGTGAAATGTACATGTGTAAATTGGATTCCATGTTCAGTTCACCCCTTATCACACTCAGCAATATCATCCATATGAAAACGTATGATTGTTTGGGATTCTCACCTCCTCATTTTTTAAACACGAGCACAGTTCTCCTTTGACATCATGAATCAGCTAATAAAGACGAACTATGAAATAAATTCAGCTCATTACCAGAGCGTTTATTTTCGAGCTAGCATATATGATAACTTACTACACTGCAGTGCTCATTATGTTTTCTCAGCTTACCATCATACCGTCTTGAATTATGCATCTTCAATCACGCAATATACCAAACAAATACCGCATTTTGCAGCCAAGTTTCTAAATACATGTACGAAAAACACACGCATGTTCCAAAGATGCAGGTTACGTAACGCCGACCAACGCTGACCTATATACAAACAGTTCCTTTCAATCTGGGTGCCTACCACATTGTCGAATACAATATTTTGTATAGTTAATCGCACGAGTTGGAGTGCGTTTATAACTATAAAATAGTTGTAAACGCACGACAACGAGTTGCGATTAACGGCTTATACCACGCATCCCCATGCATAAAACGACTAAATTGCAAGAGATTTTTAGTGACTGTTTCGGTTGTGCGTGAGGTTGTGCCACTTCAAATTTGCATGACAATGCTCTTTGAGATTCAAATTAGTAAAGCTCATCTGCGTTCATCGAATACGATTGATATGACCAATAAGCCTTATTTGCTGAATGGTCTTTTCAAATAAACTCCACTCATTCGTCAATATTTTGAATACATTTGAATTTTCCACGTGTCAAAACATGGTCTTGTCATTTCGAATGCAGGCAACGCTCAGTGATGGTCGAATACAGTGACATCTCCGATTCGGAGTACAACGATGACATTGAGAGATTTTGCTCTCAATACGACGAAAAAGAAGATTTTAAGTTAACAAAACAACAAGAACGTCAACGTTTCGGTTTACCTGTAGACAATGAACAGATAGCTGCCATTCAGAATTCGCGAGTGCCAAAAAACATGCGTAGATGTACTAACTGTGGAGTGTCTGTGTTAGATGAATGGGGCCGAGCCAGAAATGAACGAAATGAAATGAACGTGTTCACATTTGTTCCCAGATTATGCAGCGAACTTGGTGTACGTGAACTTTCATTTTGGTTGTGTCGCTTTGTTGTCGAGGCTCGTCGACAAGACGGAACAGAATATCCATCTAATAGCCTGCGTGTGCTTTGTAGCGCAATTCAGAGATATTTACGTGACGAATGCAAAAGAGTTGACTTGTGCTTTATGGATACACATGCTCGGGAATTTATGGAATTCCATCACACCCTGGACGGTGTAATGAAGAGTATAGACAGACGGGGAATAGGTGTTATTAAACGTCAAGCTGAACCATACACAGATGATGATGAAAATAAATTGTGGGATAAGGTTTTTTCCATAGTCTGCTACAAATTTGTGTAAAGTGTTCGCTCTCCGAGCAGTCAACGAACATAGTAACCTTACAGCCGAACAGTTCGTACAAGGATCAGACAATCAAGCTGACTATATTGAATTTAATGGTAGACCGTGTAAAAATAATCGAGGACTGTATTACTCGCGGAAAATCCCGTATAAATATGTGCGCCAATACGGCGATCCTTCCAACACGCGTTGTGTTGTTCAGTTATTGAAACGTTATTTGCAATGTATTCCACCGAAAGGTCCCTTCTACCGACGTCCACTGACGTCCAGCGGAGGGCTCAAATTTTCTAAACAGAAGATTGGAGTAAATACTTTACGACAATATCCAAAAAGAATGTGTGATCTGGCTGGAATAGATGGGTATCATACTGGACACTCGGGTAAGGCAAGTTTGTCTCAAGTGATTCTGGGGTGAGTGGGATCTTGGGATGGGTTCAAAAGTGTTT